GTAATCTTATCATGGTTACTGCTTTCGAAAATGCTTTGACAAATGTGGGGATGTGGTCGCTGTGTGATTGGGCAAATATTTAATCTCTCTGTGCTTCACATATATGAAATAGGGATAATAACAGTGCATGCCTACTGTTCTAAGACTGAAAAAGAATAGTATGTATAGAAAATGCTATACCTGGCCCAGCCGGTGTGGCTCAGTGGACTGAGCGTCATTCCATGGACTGAGAGGTTGCAGTTCGATTGCTGATGGATGTTTCTCTCTCACATCCATTCTCTTTCTCTCGCCCTTCTCTCTCTCTAAAAAAACCCCAAAACTCAATAAAAATATATTTAAAGAGGAAGGAAGGAAGGAAGGAAGGAAGGAAGGAAGGAAGGAAGGAAGGAAGGAAAGAAAAGAAACGAAGGGAAGGGAAGGGAAGAGAAGGGAAGGAGGGAGGGAGGGAGGAAGGAAAGGAAGAAAAGAAAAGAAAGAAAAAGAAAGAAAGAAAGAAAGAAAGAAAGAAGAAAGAATGAAAGAAGAAAGAAAGAAATGCTAGACCTGGACTTAAGAAGTCCTCAGTTAATATTAGTTGTCATCATCGTCGTCATTATATTGTGAACCTTCCATACAGATTCTGTTTATGGGTAGGGTTGAATAAGAATGAAAATAGAATTTTTCTCCTTCAGTATAGCAATATTTCATCTGGGCAAAATTAGGACTATGTACGTATCTTAATAGGGAGCACCAGTAATTGTAATTTCACTCACCCCAAATTTAAAGAAATGTTATAGTTCAGTTCAATAAACAATCATTGAGCAAGAGAGTATTCTAGGTATAGTTTTAGGCATAAGTATGTGAAATAAATAAAATACATCCCACTCTCAAGGATGTTAGAAGAGGATTCCAACAAGTAAAGACATTCAATAGCCTGTAGTCAGCACTCTAAAGGGGAGCAGATTGGAAGTAGGCCTATCCCAGTCTGGAGGGAAAAGAGAGCATCTGTGAAGTCTTCTTGGAAGAATTATGCATAAATTGAGTCCTAAAATATGAGTTATATTTGGAGGAAGAAGGGGGTTTAAGAACAATGATGGGAGACTTACATGGGCGTTGTGTTTTGAGAGAACCATGAGTAGTTTTGAGTGTCTGGGCTAAAGGGCAGTGTGGCACACTTGGGTAGAACATTTACTATAAACATAAGCAGGGTCTGGGTCAGCAAAGACATCTGATCAGACTGGAAAGGGCTAGTCTAGGTTGATAAGAATCACCATTCAGATTATGTTCAAATTTTCTTTTACTTCAGTTTACTACCAATATCAGCAAATAACTCATGCTCAGGCAGTGTGGCCTGTGGAGTAAAAACCTCAGAGTAGCAGATGGAGGTTACAGCTTTATCACATTGGTGTGGGGAGAGGCAAAGTAACCACTCAAAGGTCCATTACTCCCATGTAAAGCAACCCTGGTTGAAGCCTGATTATGTTCTTTAGGTTTTCATTTCTAACTGAGTCATCAGAGTTAAAGAAAGACTGGACATGGCCTAGCATAGCTTTCTGTGTGCTATTCCTTTAGGTCACAGAATTTAGACTTGACCTTAGAAATAATTTGTAGTAATTAAAAACTTTAATTGTAAAAAAATATATATGATTCCTTATACTTTGGAAACCAACTCAGCATCAGCATGTTTTCAGATACCATTATAATGTATGGAAGATTGCAATTGGAAGATGCTGAAGGCTGCATGCACAGTGAGCAGGTTTGCCTGAGTACAAGCAAGAGAAAATGAGAACCTGAACTAGGTCAGCTGCAGGGGGGTGGATTGTAGTTGAGCTGGAGAAAGACAGATAGATATGAGGCAAATCATTAGGACTCATCCCTGGTGGTATATACAGAAAATAAGAGAGAGGTGACAGGTTTTGTGTGTTTTCACTTATTTCTGAGATTTTGAATAGTCTAGAAATTCCGATCCTGACTGGCTTGATCATTTAGGATCAAGTCTGTCTCTTTAACAGCCCTCTTTGGACTGTAATATCTTTTTGTTAAGAATGCTCTATCAGCAGATCATAGGGATCATCCCAGTTTTAACTCTCAATGTCATGGACTCTAAGAAACTAGATTATAATATTGATTGTTTGTATTCTGTATTTTATATCAATATTTCTGTCTATATCAGTTTTCTTTCTTCATTTTCTATTTTTTATTAGTCTCCTTCTCCCTAAGAAAGAACAGATCTTCTTTTCTGTATAAATATGATATACTCTTATCATATGGCAAAAACTTATGACAAAAACTTGAGAAGATTTGAAAATCATCAACAGAGTACAAATAAATAAATAAATATACATTGATTCTATTATAATGTCTAGAAACTGAAAGGACCTCAGTCAAACACATAATTATTGACCTACTAGGATTTCTGCACAGTGCTATATGTTTCCATATAATTCATGTTTGGTTTGAAATTCTGTCACAGGATTTTCAAAATTAACAGTGTTTTTCTCTTTTTATTTTGATAGTGGTTTCTATTCCAGTGAGATGCGGGAAGCATTCGGAGTTTGGATTGGATTAAGAAATTGTAGAGCAGACTTCCCTGTAAGTATTCTGATGCAGTAAGTTTGGAGTGGGCCTTGGGAAATTCTATTCATGTTTTATTGTTTTGTTTTTTTTTTTCTTTATTGATTTTAGAGAGAGAGGAAGGGAGAAGGAGGGAGAGATAGAAATATTGATGAGAGAGAACATTGACTGGCTACCTCCTGCATGCCCCCCATTGGGGATTGGGCCCACAATCTGGGCATGTGCCCTGACCAGGAATTGAACAGGCAACCTCTTGGTGCATGGGTTGATGCTCAACCACTGAGCCACACCAGCTGAGCTATTCATTTTTTTTTTTTTAAGCTTCTCATCCAGGTTTAGAAGAACATGTTTTATGAATAAAGTTCACATTTCTTATTATGACCTAGATCCACCTCTGTCCACTCTAGCCTCATTTTCCTACTGCAGTCTGATTTCCACCTGGACCAAGTCACTTGTAATCCTTCAGATACATCAGACAAAGCTGTGTCTGCCTGATAAACTCATAATTCAAGAACCCAGGTTAGAATTAACACTAACCCCTGTGGTTTCGCCTCTCTTCCGTAAGGACTCCTATCACAGCGTATGAACAGTTCACTTCCGGATCAGAATGTGCCATTTGAAAATTGCCTGTAGGTTGCAACTCTTGCACCAAGACTGTTGACAAACTTGAACACTCAGGAAAACGGCTCCTTTATTTAAGAAAAAAATACTTGAGTAGAATTTCTGTTCATCCAAAGGAAAGATTTAGATCCTACAATGAAGGGGAAATGTTGAGCCAAAGGGGAGCTAAAAGCTCCCAGATAGGATAACAGGGCTGAACGCACTTTTGGTTTTCCGGGAGAAGGAATGTGTTGTGGTGGTGAGGCCAGCTTCAGACTGACAGAGACACGGAGCCTGCATTTCAAGGAGTTCTCCCAGGATCCTGAAGTAGCAGATGGAATTCTGATCCTAGAGCAGAGCTTCTTAGCCCTACAGTTTAATTTGGTGTTGACGGATGGGTCTAAGCCCACAGGAAGTTATTGGAGACCGAAGGAAATTAGAGACTTCCAGGTGTCTCCTGCTTCTCTTGAGTTAGCACTATTAGAAGATGTTCAAATAACCATTCACTCTCTGAAAACACACACGCACGCAAACTGTAAAAGGTGCTTATTCTCAAAAACCTCTAAAAATCCCTGGTGTGAAAGATAGAGTAGGATCTGTAACCATAGAATGAATTGGAAGTAGAGACATCATGGGTTGCGTTTGTTCGCATTCATGATTAATGACCTTTACTGAGTGCTAACTCTGTGTACTAAGGACTTGATGTGTCTTAGTATGTGTGATCCTCTCCACAGCCTATATAGTTAGTCCTATCAGAGTAAAATAAGGATGTGGAAATAGAGATGGACCTCTAGCAAGTGGCGAGTTTTGACCCTTTTTTTTTATCCTCACCTGAGGACATTTTTCCATTTATCTTCAGATAGAGCAGGAGGGAAAGAAGGAGGAAGAGAGAGAGAGAGAAACATTGATGTGAGAGAGACACATTGAGTGGTTGCCACGCCATGACCCCAACCAGGGCCAGGGACAAACTGCAACTGAGGTACACCCCCTTAGTGGGAACCGAACCCGGGACTCTCTGGTCCACGGGCTGATGCTCTAACCACTGAGCCAAACCGGCCAGGGCTTGACCCTTGTTTTGAGCTACATGGAGGTCAATGGTTTAAACACCATGAACCTTAAGACAATGTAGTCCACAGCGACAAAGGGAAGGAAAACCTGCTGAAAATGTTTATTGTGATAGGAAAGAAAAGGAGATTAGAATAGAGATTTTGTCCGGTTGGTGTGGCTCAGTAGTTGAGCATTGACCCAGGCACCAAGAGGTCGCCGGTTCAATTCCCAGTCAGGGCGTATGCTCAGGTTGTGGGACTGATCCCCAGTGGGGGGGTGTGCAAGAGGCAGACAATCGATGTTCTCTCTCAACCATGTTTCTCTCTTTTTTTTCCTTCTCATTTCCTCTCTCTAAAATCAATAAAAGAAGAAAGAAATTAAAAAAAAAAATTTTACCAAGTATACATATAAGTATACCATGGACCACTAAAAAAGGTTCAGGTATGATTAAAAAAATTTAAAACCAAAAATCTTATTTAGGACCTACCTATTTCAAAGTAATAGCAACCTCTTGTTCTCCTTGTTTATAAATTAATCAGTTGGACTTCAATGGAGTCAAAGTTGCTAGTACTTTTCCCTGTACTGCTATAGCTTTTTAATTGTGTTGGAATGTATCTTCTTCCCTGTTCCATTTTGTTTCATTGAATGATTTTTCCAGCTTTAACTATATTAAAAAAAGCCTCCTTCACTCAGTTAAGTTAAACTTGGGAGTTTACAAAAGAAATCCCTCTTTAATTCTAAATAATTCTTTTTTTTTTTTCTATTTTCAGAGAAAATATTTCAGCAACACTTTAGAAAACATCAACAACAGAATAGAATTTCTTCCATTTTTGATAAAAGTAAGTACTTTTCCCACTGAAAGTACAAATTTTCGAAAATATGAAAGTACAGATAAAACCATGTACACAAACACATTCCTTTAAGAGATGTTCTTATTATAGTACTCGTAAAGTGACCTGTCGGAAGAATAAATGGCTTTGGCTTTTTGGTTTATGTAGAATACAAAGTAAATTTCAATAACATCTCATCATGTTTGCCCATGAGTTCAGTGGCTGCAACTAAGTACATGTTCATTTTTGACAGCAATACAGCAGTAGATTCCACGTGGTGGTTTTGCTAAAGAAAAAAAAAAAAAAAAAACTATCAGAAGGTACATTGCTATCAATGGATTTCAACTAATACAATCAATACGAGTTACTTACGGCCAGCTGTTACTGCTGGAAAATGGTGTGGAGAAATCTTAAGGGTAGCATAAGGATGAAGAGGTTCTTCCTCTATTTTTTTACAGATCAAGATGTTATGAAGCATTCATTTACCAGTACAACACTCCAAGGGTTAGCTTTTGGTAATTAAAACCATTCACCCTTATTATTAAAGTTTATCTATATTTAAAATCTGAAGTCAGCCAGCACGAAGAGCTCAAATCGTAATTAGTTTGATAAAACTATCCAGGGAGGCTATGTAATCTAATAGGAAACAGTAAGTCTGTGGTATGGGCCTTGGTCTCAGCTGTGTGATTCAGACCCATGTCTTTCTTTCTCCATGCCTCAACATATCCTTTCTAAAAAGAAGACAGTCTACTTTTGTTCATCACAGATTAGCCAGACAGCAGCGAATCAGAACTGATGTCTTTACTGCTGATGTCTGACCACCAGCCCGTGTCTTAGCACATGGAATCCTGACCACAGTGTGTTTGGGTATTTCTTCCATTGCCCTAATGCTGACCTTCTAGTTCTCCACGTAAGTGTATCCCCTCCCAGCTCCCCAGCTACTTCCCATTTTCTATGTGGGTCAAACTCCAATGGCCTGGTGCGAATCGTTTTACTGTAAGAATAAGAAATTTGATTTACCCTTAAAATTGTTAATGAACAGTCTCATATTTGTCCTCCCATTGCAGAACGTGCCATATGTCAATGCTTTTAAAGAGCTGAACATTCTCAGGCATGAATACTTAGTTCACTATTTCACTTTCCTTTTATTTAACCTTTTTAACTATGTAGGCTCAGGTTAGTATTTAATGGACTTGTGATTGATCACATTCCCAAATATGCAAGTGCTGAACAAACACAGAAAGCAGCGAAGATCACACTGAGTAACAAAAAAAAGAGTGACATGTTTAAGGGTGATAAAGTGGATGTTTGAGAATAGACTTCAATTTTTAGATCAGCGAGCAATACATCAGTTAAAAAAAAACTTTCTTTCGGTTGTTTTTAAACAAACTTGGCGTTTAAATATGTATAAGCCTAATTACTAGAAAGATCATTGATTTTGGAGTTGACAGATTTTACTTTGAATCTTAGTTTTGCTTGTTTTTAGCTATGAGACCTGGGTATCGCCTCTTCTGATTCTCAGGCCTGTTGGTGAAATAAAGGTAATAGAAGGTGTGAAAGTTGATACTGACACGTAAAGTCCCTAGCGCGTGGCAAAGATCGCATCAGCGGCTGCTCCCCCCTCTTCCCGGGCTTTCACTCCCCTCCACTCACGCACGCAGAGGTGTCAGGGAAACAAAAATAAATAGCACAAGAGCCATCAGACGGGAGGGTTTTCTAGGTTAGATGTTCTTTCCTACTCACCTTTGCTTCTCTAGTCCCTGTTGGGAGAATATACTATGCCGTATATAGGGATTCATAATTAGTACTGACTAAAAACGGGCATCACAGAAAAAAGGCAGGGAGATTACGCTGACAGTCACAGAGGAAATCACACATGTAGATACCGAGTAGGGGAAGTGGGTTAGTGGAAGCTCAGCTTCTCTGAGGACTGGAGCCTTGCTGAAGAGGCCACAGGGAAGGTTAGGGGTGACTGTGAAAGACACAGAGAAAGAATAGGTCACTTTTTTTTTTTTTTTTTTTTTTTATGGTCTGTCAGATCTCAATGAGGTTTAAGAAGAAAGCTTTTCTTTTGAATTTTTTTTTTTAATATCGTATCACTAGTAACAGATTATTGTAGTTATGGTAATTTTTACTACATTCATTTAAAAAAATGTTTAAACTACAGTTTTAAGTGAATTATGCACCATTATTACAATATTGTCGAATAATCCAACTATGACTCTGTATACTGTTACCAGAGAGATTCACACTATCTTTTTATGTTTTTATGATATTAACTGGGATTCTTTTAAGTCCACACAAAGAACTCCCTTTAGCATTTCTTTTTCTTTATCCTCACCCGGGACATTTTTGCATTTATCTTTAGATAGAGGGGGAAGGAGAGAGGGAGAGAGAGAGAAAATATCGATGTGAGAGAGACACATTGACTGCTTGCCACCCACACAACCCCAACTGGGGCCGGGGACAAACTGCAACCAAGGTACGTGCCCCTAGCAGGAACTGAACCTGGGACTCTCTGGTCCATGGGGCAACACTCTAACTGCTGAGTCAAACTGGCCAGGGCCCTTTAACATTTCTTGTAAGGCAGGTTTGGTGGTAATAAACTCCCTCAAGTTTCGTTTGTTTGGGTAAGTGTTTATCCTCCCTTTGTTTCTGAGCACAGCTTTGAGGCTTCAGAATTCTTGGTTGACAGTTATATTTTAAAATATATTTTGAATATATGTCATCTTATCCTGTCCTGTCCTGGCAAGTTTCTGTTGAGAAATCCACGAATAGTCTTATGGGGGTTCCCTTGTATATAATGACTCTCTTTTCTCTCTCTTTTTTTTTCCCTCATCCTAGGACATTTTTCCATTTTTTGTTCAGATAGAGGGGGAGGGAGAGAGAGGAAGAGAGAGAGAGAAACATCAGTGTGAAAGGGACACATCGAGTGGCTGCCACCCGCAAAACCAACCCGGGCCAGGGACAAACTGCAACCGAGGTACATGCCCTTAGCAGGAACTGAACCCTGGTCTCTCTAGACTGCAAGCCGATGCTCTGACCGCTGAGCAAAACCGGCCAGGGCTCTCTTTTCTCTTACTGCTCTTAAAATTATCTTTTTATTTGACTTTTCACAATTTAATTTTTAAAAAATTTAGTTATATATATATATTTTTTTTTTTTCATAGAAAGAGAAAGGGAAAGAGAGGAGGAGGAGGAGAGAGAGAAATATAGATGAGAGAGAAACATCCATCATTTGCCTCCAGGACATGTTCCAGTGGATCAAACCTGCAACCCTTGTATATGCCCTGACCAGGAGTCAAACCCACCACCTTCTGGTGCATGGGCTTCATGAATGAATCTAGAAATCTATTTCTCTCTCCAGGTTCAGGAAGTTTTCAGCCATTATTGCTTTAAATATACTTTCATCTTTTTCTTTTTCTTTTTTTTTTCTGGAATTCCTATATGCAATTATCATTTTTTTATTGTATCCCATAAGCTTTTTTCTTTTTCTTTTTTTTCCTTTTAATCCTCTGACTTTGAAATTTTCAATGTTCTATTCTCTGGGTTCTTTCTTTTGTATGATCAAGTCTGCTTTTAAAACTTCTATTGATTTCTTCAATTGAGTTGTATTTTTCAACTCAAGGACTTCTGTGTTTATTTATTTATTTTTGATAGTTGCTATTTTCTTGTTAACTTCTCATTTTATTTATGCATTGTTTTGTTAGTTTGATTTAGTTGTCTATATGTGTTTCTTTGTAGTTCACTAAACTTCCTTAAGAAGATTATTCTGAATTATTTGACAGTTCATAGATCTCCATTTCTTTAGGGTCAGTTATTGGGTCCTAATTAGTTTCATTTGATGGTGTCATATTTACCTAATTTTTCATGAGTTTTGATTCCTTACGTTGGTATCTGTGCAGTTGAGAAATTGGCTTCTCTTCCAGACTTGACAGGTTTGCTTTGGCAGAGACTGCTTTTTGCCTCAGTTCGGGTTTCTAAGTGTCTGTTGTAATGTTCCTGGGCAGGTGGGCCCTGCTATTATGGTTTGATTTGGGGTGAGGCGACTGAGCTCTGAGGACGGAGATGGGGTTTGTATCACTGGCTGAAAACAGTTGGATAGGATTGGTGGCTTGATGTGCTACTCAAATGAGGTAGTAGGATGTGCTCCATGGTTGCCTGGATTCGCTGATCAGGCTTACTAGATGGTTGGGAATGAGTACTAATTTCAGTGGTGCATAGAGCTATAAAGTAGCTTTCCCGACCTGGCAGGGCAGCAGAACAGGACCCAGGGCTCGTACAGCTCATAGTTTGGGGACCCGCATCAGTCCACAGTGTGCACTAAATTCTCTGGTGAGGTGCGGTCACTGGTTTTGCTTTGCAGATGGGGAACACCGTGGCTGTGCTCTCTGTTCAAGTGCCACTGTACACAGGGCTAGTAGATGTGCTGTGCAGCTTCTCGTGTGTTCTGGTTAGGTTCCCAGTTTGGACAGACTGATGACTGTACCCAGTGAGGAGTAGGGCTGCGGACTGGATTCCCTGCCCAGGTGCAGCCGGAGAAGCGGCTCTAAAGCTGGTAAAACTCTTTTTTGTCTTAACTCAAGCCAACCCACACCCTAAGTTCCCTGACCAAATAGGCCCTCTTGTTTTGCTCTGCAAATTACTGGCTCTGCCCACTTCTCCTCTTGAGCAACACTGGGCTGCACTGTTCAGGAGCTGTTGCCAGCCCTTCTGGTCAGCTGGGGCTGGAAGGCACTGTCCACAGTGAATGGGGCTGTGACTCCGCTCCTTGCCTCGGGATGGGGCAAAGATTGGAAGATCTTTGCTTGAAGATCCAAGTCAGGCAGATCTGAACACTGCCAAATTCCCTGGTCAGAAAGTGTACCCCTGACCTGGTTCTGAAGATAAGCAAAGCTGCTGGTTGGTAGGAACTTGGTTTCCTGTGCTAGTTGCTATAAGCTCCCTCCCCTTTTCCATCATAGCCAGATTCCCAGTGTTTGAATACCTTAGATTTCCCTGCGGCCTCCATGGTGTCAGATCAGAGTAGGGGTTCCCACAGAGCAACTCCCAATGCTCAGAGGGGCTGGTTGTCCCCCTGAGTTCTCTTTTCCCACTGAAGGCTCAGGGGAGACCTCCCTTCAGGGTGACGCATTGTCCTGGGAGAGACCAATGTGGTCAGCTCCCTAATGGAGTCTGTCTCGGTCTCTGTGATGCAGGGGGATACTTCAGCCACACCCTAATGTTCTAAGATTCTCTCAGTGGTGTTTTGTTCTTAAATGGTTACTAGTTTTCTTCTTGTGAGAGGAAGTGAAGAAAGGAACAACCTATGTCACCATCTTGGTGGTGTCACTCCCGCCGTCTGAGTTTATTTCCACGCTACTATAAAAAACAAAGCATAACACACAGTAGGTGCTTAATAAATAGTTATTAAATAAATAAACGAATGAAGAACTAACCTCATCAAGAAACATTTCACTTAATTGGTAACATTTTTTCGCTTGCCTGAAGAAAAACATACAAATTGTTGCCCATACATACTTTCTTCTTGAAATTTTTCAAAGCTATCTTCTCTCTCTCTTGAAGAAAAAGGGAAAACTGGGCCATCGTAGTAGAAGTTGATCTTTTGTTGTAACTTGAGAAAGGATGGTAAATTGTGGTATCTGAGGGCAAGCTTTCTTTTGCTGCATTACTGATTTATCTTTGATATCCTGATCTTTAAAGATTTCTCGTAGTTTATGTGGTAAAAAAGTATCCCCTCCTCTCCATTCCTCATCCTGTCTTTTACAGGAGATCATGATCCACACATGACCCACCAAGCTCACCAGGAAACTAGGGGATTGAGTCAAAACCAGTTAGTAGTAGAATGGGACTGTCTGCCTATGGCCTCTGTGTGGACCAGGTAAGTGTACAGAAAGGGTGTCTGTGACTATAGTAGGTGGCTGGTAGGAAGCTCAGGGACTTCAGAATACTGGCTAACTTTTTATTATTTTCCACTACAAATATTTTTTATCTTTTTTTCTAATGAAACTTATGGAAAGGTATAGGCTAGAGACCGATAAGGTATTGGGGTATGAATATTGGGAACCACTGAAAAATGTGGTATATAGATTATGATCAGATTTTTATTTTATTATTTTTTTATTTTCTATTTATTTTTGTTTAATTTATTTTTGTTACAGATGTTTCTCCTCCACCCCCCACCCACTGATTCCCCTCTCCCCCTCCCTCCCCGCCCTGTCCCAAGCTTTGTTGTCCATGTCCATTGTTCAAACATATATGCATATAAGTTCTGTGGTTTATCTCTCCCCCACCACACCCTCTTCTGGGGATTGTCAGTCTGTACCCCACTTCCACGTCTCTGGGACTACCCCATTGCTCAGACTGTTATGTTCATTATATTCCACAAATAAGTGAGATCATATGATACTTGTCTTTCTCTGTTTGGCTTGCTTCGCTTAGGATGATACTTTCCAGGTCCCTCCATGTCATCTCAAAGGATAAGAGATGATCAGGTTTTTAAAAGGAGTTTGGATATACTACAAATTTAGTAAAAAGCAGGGAAACAAGTTTTTAAGAAAGAAAATACTACAACAGAGTGTGTTTTAGGAAGAGCAGTCTGGCATTTGCCTTGGCACTTATAAGATTCCAGTGAAATGAAATACAAGAGGTGACATTATCTAAATTTAATCTATCTTCAGTAACATTCTGGTAACTTTTTTGGATCAAATGCAAGAAATTTCAAAGATGACAAAAATAAATTAAAACATATCTTTTACTTTCAACAGAATCTTGTCTCATAAATTATGAATTTATTTTCTTATTATAATGCAGTTTAATCTTTTGGTAATGAATTAGGGCAGGCAACTCATGTTGTATCCTTAGTATAAACATTAAACTGTGTTTCAGAATATTATGCAGTTTATGTAGTGCACTAAGTGAGCTTTTAAAATACTAATTGTGTGTGTGTGTGTGTGTGTGTGTGTGTGCATATGAAAGAGAGAGAAAGAGAGAGAGAGAGAGAGGTGAAAATGCATTATTATATTTCTTCTGAAAATTCACTTCAGAGATAGTTAATGGCTTAACAAAGAATAGAGTTTCAGATTGGAGAAACCAATACAACTTACCCACCATATCCTCTTACATACATTTAATAAATGTCTATATAACTGAATTTTAGGATCTCTGTTCATATTTTTTAGGACACATTTCAGTGGCAAAGTAGAGAGAGGAACTTGCTAAATGACTTAGCAAATCTAATGGCATTAAAATTTGGAGTTAGATTCAAATGATAATTCTCTATTCACAGGTGGTGATTAACAACTATATTCATTAGCACACCAGAAGATCAACCCAGATAACTTTCTTTAGAAATGTTTTCTGGAGATACTATTTTAAAAAGAAACATTAATTCTTTAATCTACTATAGTTGGTTTTCAGATATTAAATTACAGATCAACCCAGATAACTTTCTTTAGAAATGTTTTCTGGAGATACTATTTTAAAAAGAAACATTAATTCTTTAATCGACTATAGTTGGTTTTCAGATATTAAATTACTGCTCTGAGCTTTTGGGCTCCTGGTAATCAAAATACTAAGAACTGCAAACAACAGTGTTCTCTGTGCCTAAAACCATTCAGCAGCTCTCTAAGATTGCAGAGAGCATTTAAGACTAATTTATCAGTATTTATGGTCAGGTTGAGTTAGGCAAAAATATTTTAATGATTTTAGAGATGTATTGCAATGAGAATTTTTTAGAAAACCTGAAGTTATGTGTGGTATAAAGCCTGTTGAAAGTATGTATAGGAAACTGCTATAATATCATCTATATTTATTTTTCCTTCAACATTGATGCTATACATTTCTGGGAACTTGTAATCAAAACAACTAGGTTTAAACTAAACCATCTCACCTTCTAACTGTGTGACCCTGATTATATTACCTCTCTTTTTCGAGTTTCTTTCTTTCTTATGAATAAGATCTATGGCCCATAGCAGGTAAGCATGAAATAAAGTTTTGTGTGTGTGTGTGTGTGTGTGTGTGTGTGTTTTTAAAGTATTAAATGACATCTGGTATGCTGTAGAGTCTTAGTCAATGAATTGAATAGAATAAATAATATAAAAATCTGACCAAAAGAATGAATCAGCAAAATAAGTCTTTCATAATGGAGACTGATGAAGTGCCAGGCTCTCTTGCTTCATGACTGTGTTTGCTGGCACCACTTAAGGGCCCCTCTGAGCAGACTTTAAAGTGTACATCTTAGAACTCTGCTGACTGACTGATTTAGGGTCACTTGTTTACTTGTTATGTAGACTTGGATACATCTCTTCCTCTCATTATGCTCCATTTTTCTTATCTGTAAAACAGATCATGAAAGAATCTATATACAGAGTTTTGTAGGGTTAACTAATATAAAGCAAAGAAATCACATAATACCATTTTTGGATAATGAGAGTCATTGAATGAACATTAGCAGATGTTCCCAAGTCTGCAGCCTGGGGCAGTGGTCTTCATTGTACCTCGTGGAGGAGATGAAGATTTCCCATAGGATGGATGGGGACAGAGGGTTTCAAGTGAAGTGACCAGATATATCCTGCTTTGTCCAGCATGGTCCTGAATTATGCCTGTTACTACTGATGGCTAATGTCACCCCTTTTTACTCACAGAATGGCCTGGTTTGGCTAATAAATAGTATGGTCATGCTAGTTTTGAAAAAGTAAACTCCCAGATTCTGAACTTTCCTATGAACACATTCCTAAAATAATTACCCTAAAAATGTTCTTATTTGTACAATAATTTCTTCAAGAAATGGTCCAAGTTGTGGGAATTGTTCTTTCCCATATCCTTTCACATAAATCAACCTTCTCTCACTTTATAAAATTAAGGTATACCTTTCTCTCACCTGAATTCTTGGAAAGAGAAATCTGAGAGAGCAAATCAAAGAGAGCCGATGATAAATGTTACACCCAGACATCCAATTCGTGCTCAGCTTCCAGGTGTATCTTTGTTAAAGTTGGAATTCAAAAGTGAAATTTTCATAGAGATGTGTTGTAAAATGTTTATTGCAGTTGAAAAATTAAGCCATACTTTGTCTGATTGGAAATAAATTTCTTTGGCTTGATAATTAGGACTGTTTTTGTCTATTATATTTATGGAAAACATTTGATCATTTTAATGAGCTGAATTTGCCATTCCAACCTTTTTGAAAAATATATATTTACATTACTAGTTAAATAATTTCTTTAAAAAGTAATATACTAAAAATTATGTATTAAAATGAACACTTTGATTTTAGCAAGAGTTATGAGACTATTTAATAGTTATTTGGTAAGTCTTGGTAAAGATTTTTTTTTAAATATATTTCCCAGAAATTGGGAAAGGAAATGATTCACAATGACAGGGTAAAAAATTCTTTGGTGAGTCAGATGTTTTCTAATTTGTTAAAAAAAAAATTGAGTTGCCCACTGGTAAATCATTTAAAATATCTTTTGGTGAATGCTCACTATGTTATTCGTGATATATAACTCTGAAGGCGCTCAACAAATTGAGTGACATTGCTATAAAAAACTTCTTTCATTTCATTAAATTATTTATGTAAGCCACTTTCCTCATTGCTTACATATATAAATATGAGAAATTATTTGAGCAAGAAGCAACATGTATTCACAAATCCATAAGCAAATTAAAACAAGTCCCATTGATTTTCTTATGAGTTGGGTTTCCAATAAAAATTACTTTGCATACTTAATGTTTTTCACAAGTTAGAATGTAGCCTTAAATAAATGTATATTAGTAATAACTGCAATACTTCAATCAGAAGAAGATTGACTATATTCTTGCATAACGAAAAGTAAACATTTTTATTTTTTAAATTGTGAAGAAAAACTTTAGATATGTTTGTGGGAGAAGTTGGAAGATCATTGATCTACAAAATCTGTCCCTGCTCCATTCCAACTTTTCTAATATTTGTCCTTAATAATTTACAGATATTATATTTAAAGAATATAAAATGTTTGTCTCATGAATAAGATTTTTATTTGGTAATTATAGTACCTAAAGTACTTATAGGAATAATTACCAACTCTTCAGTTTGAATAATATTTTAAAAATATTAGGAATGAAGAAGAAAAATTATAAATGTGTAGATTATAAAAAGATAAGGCATATTATGAACACTTTGTGTCAATAAGTGTGAAGTCTTAGATTTTGAAATATATACATTCCTAGAAACAGATACTGCCAAAACTGAACCTAGATGAAGTGAAATCACCAGTTAAAAATCTCCCAAAGCAAAATCAAGAACAGAGTTGGTTTTATAGTATGCTTTTACCAAACTTTCAAGATATAATTCAAACATTAAATTCTTTTGTTAAAGTGAAAATTGGAGAGTGTTTTCTAGCATAATAGTTAATGAATGAAAAATAATAATACAGTTGACCCTTGAACAGCAGGGGTTTGAACTGCACTGGTCCACTTATTTAGTGATTTTTTTTTCAATAAATACTATAAATGTATTTTATCTTTCTCGTGATTTTCTTAATGTTTACCTTTTGCTAACTTTTTAATTTATCTTAATATGTTTTTATTGATTTTTTAGAGAGAGAGGAAGGGAGAGAGAGAAATATCGATGTGAGAGAGGAACATCGATCAGCTGCCTCCTGGAATCGCCCCCTGCCCCTGGGGTCAAACCCACAACCTGGGCATGTGCCCTGACCGGGAATCCAACCAGGACCTCACAGTCCAGGGGGTGATGCCCAATCCACTGAAACACACTGGCTGGGCTAGATTACTTTTTTAGTAAGAATACAATATATAATACATACAACATACAAAATATGTGTTAATCAACTGTTATTGGTAATTCTTCAGGTAAAGAGTAAGCTATTAGTAGTGATGG